CCTGCAGACCAGAGAGTCCCGGTTCCATTCCGGGTCGGGGCGCTCCTGGTTGTGGGCTCGTCCCCGGTCCCCGGTCGGGGGCGCGCAGGAGGCAGCCGACCCGTGATTCTCTCTCATCGTGGATGTCTCTCTCCCTCTCCCTCTCTGAAATCAATAAAAGTTTATTTAAAATAATAATAACTAGAATTGTTGTTCAGAGACACAGACGACAGTGTGGTGATGACGGGGGAGCGGGCGGGGGGAGGGAGGGGCCGGTGCGGAAGGAGACCTGCCGGGCGGTGCTGCGGGTTGCAGGCCTGGAAGCGGCATCGTTCTGTCAACCGACGTCACCCCAGTAAGTCCAATAGGAAAGAAATAACGGATTGTGTGAGCGTGAGACAGTTTTACACGCGGCTGCGGGGCAGATTCCTAAGGACGCTGGTTGGGAGGAGCGCGGGGGGTGCAGCCCCAGATCCGGGGAGCAGGAGCCGCCCGGGGAGCCTCACTGGGTGCTCAGTCCTGGGGCTCAGTTCTGGGTCATCAGGAAAATGAGCCTTGGCCTCCGGCTCACGGAAGAGGAGGTGGTGTTTGCAAGGTTTCAAAGCGACGGAGGATTTTTTGTTTTTTTAATCCTCACCCGAGGACATTTTCCATTGGTTCTTAGAGTGGAAGAGAGAGGGTAAGACAGAGAGAGAGAAACATCGATGTGAGAGAGACATAGATGCATTCGCTCCTACCAGGGCCTGGGCCAGGGAAGAGCCTGCAACCAAGGTACGTGCCCTTGACTGGAATCGAACCCAGGACCCTTCTGTCTGCAGGCCGACGCTCTCTCCACTGAGCCACGACAGCCAGGAGTAAAAGCAGCAGAGGATCAACAGCGAGAGAGTTAAGGAATGCCCGTACGTCAGAGAGAGAAAGGAGACCGATAAACCAGTGGGCAGGAGGTAAGAGGGCGGATGGAAGGGAAACCCCAACCTGAGAAGCAAACAGATGCTGGAACGTATCAGCCACCTGAGCATCAAAATCACATGGTTCCCCTTATACCCATCAGACGGCAACACGAGAAAGTCGACGTTTCTGGTTTTAAATACGGATAGCTCATGCCCCAGCACCATTTGTTGAAATGAATTGCCTTCGAACCTTTGTTAAAAATCTCTTGTCTGGCCCTAGCTGGTTTGGCTCAGTGGGTAGAGCGTCGGCCTGTGGACTGAAGGGTCCCGGGTTTGATTCCAGTCAGGGAACAAGCCTGGGTTTAGGGCTCGATCCCCAGTAGGGGGCCTGCAGGAGGCAACCGATCAATGGTTCTCTCATCATTGATGTTTCTATCTCTCCCTCTCCCTTCCTCTCTGAAATCAATAAAAAATAAAAAACCAAAAGGCACCTCCTGTGCCGGCAGTGGAGCAGGAGGGCCCAGGAGGGGGCCGGAGCTGCCACGGGGTGAGGAGAGGACAGGGCTGCGCACGGGGCCATGGGGAGCGGGGGGCAGAGTGGCCCGTGTCCCTGTACCGGACACTCTCCCCCAAGCCCTCCCTCCACCTGTGGGGCCCCGTTTTCTGTCTGCTCTGCACACACACACCCGGCCCCAGGAGGCAGTGCTTATATTGGGTAGACAAAGACCTAGCGCTGGGCCAGAAACCCTCTCCAGGCCGGCCGGGACCGGGCTCAGTTGTGGGGCGCCCACCACTCGCCCCGCGGATCACTGTCCTCCTCCCTCCGGAGCCGGAGTACCCGGTGAGGACGCCCTCCCTCTAGTCTTGCTCCCGGGTCTCCCTTTGTCGCTGACCTCCTCCTCCTCATTTACACCCCAGGACTTTTCCTGTCTCCCCAAAAGCACTCCTCTGGGTGTCTCCTTCCTCGGCGTCCGGCCAAAGCGCCGCACCCACAGTGTGAACCAGACCACGACTCACTGGCCCGAGGACGAACCGTTCAGACTTAACATTCTCCGGGGCGTGGGCGTGTCTGTCACCGCCATGCGAAGGGTCAGAGACCCCCTCCGTCCAGCCCTTCACCCCCCGCCATCGGTCAGACCTGCTCTCCCATCAAGTCCCACTTCTCCACTCACAGCCCTGCCGCCCACCCCGACCTCACACCAGGGCTCTGGTCCCTCCTTCCCCACCGACAGGCCCTCGGACTGAACCTGGACCGCAGTGGTCGGCTGCTGTCACCGCATGAAGCCGCCGCCGAGTGGCCCCATGTGAGCGTTGGGCCCCCGAGGGGGAGAGCAGCAGGCCTCCCACGGGACGTGCAGCCAGGCCTCCCTCGGGGTCTGAGTCGTCTCGCTGGGTCTGCGGAGCTTCTTGCCGGGGACAGTGAGGAGCAGCGGCCTCCACTGTGGCCGTGAGCAACCACTCGGCATCGAGACACTGGACCGAACACACGACACGTGGTGCTTCCCAGGCCGCAGGCCACGGCTGTGCCCAGCGGGTCCCTGAATGGAAGGCGACGGGTGAGTTCCGTGAACCCAGGCCACCCTGGGAAGACAGGGAGGGGGTGCCGGGGTCCAGCCCCAGTGGTCCAGGGGTTCCCAAAGGTGAGGACGGCGTCGGCAAAGAATGAAGGACACGGAGACAGTGTTCAGATGATCAGCATAGCCAGGTTCTCTCTTTATTCTCCTGTTACATCTGTATTTATACCATTTGATCCTATAAGCATGCCTCTATAGTCACATCATGGTATGTTCTGGGTCCTCCCTTAAACTTCTACATCCTTGTTTCCATGCCTCTATAGTCACATCATGGTATGTTCTGGGTCCTCCCTTAAACTTCTACAGTTCCTTGTTTCATGTCCATAGTTTCTTATCTGACCTTTGCCAAAAATCTTGTTTCTATCTAGTTCTGTAGATTTTAATCCTATCCATTCTATTCCAAAGGTTAGGGCTAGTTATCTCCATTCCAAGGTCACTACTCTGCTGTTCTGTTCAGCTACAAGGAAGTAACTGAAGGAGATTATCCTAAGTAAAGATTATGTAGCTTAAGCGTGATTGTTCATAGTTAAGGTGATTAGCTACCCACC